GCGGCTGGCCCAAGACATGGGCTTGGCGGAACAGCAGCAACAGGCTTCTCGGCCTTGGCAGGAGGAGCAACAGGAGTCGGGCTGGGGTCGGTAGGCTTCTCAGCCTCCTTGACGTCGTCCTGCGCAACCTCGGCGGCAACAGTCTCCGGGTTCGTCTCAGCGGCAGCCTCAGGCACAGCCTCGACGGGCTCCTCGGCCTTGGCCTCGTCAGCATCGCTAGCAGCCTCGTCAGTGCTGGCGGCAGTCTCCTCGACGGAATCCTCGAGCTTCTTATCGACCTCGTCAGCATCAATGGCAGGCTCGTCCTTAGTCTCCTCCTCAGCCTCGACGGGAGCCTTCTCGGCCTCAGCGGCGGGGGGGCTGGGCTCAATGTTCACTTGCTCCTCCTGGGTCTCGACGACGGCCTCCTCCTCGCCTTCCTCGTTGACGAAGCGCAGGATATCGTTGACGACGAAGTAGCCGGAAGGCTGCGGTGCGAGGACGAAGGTCTGGACGAACTTCTGGGGCTCAGCAGCCTTGTTGGAGGTCTCGCCGATGACCTGGATGACAATGTTGTCGAACGAGGCCATAGAGTCGACGTTGGTGACGCGGACCTTGCAGTCCTGGAAGTCGAGCTCCTTGATACGCTCCTGGATGGCCTGAGAGAAAGAAAACGAGGTCAGATGAGAAACGACGAGGCAGACCAGTGGGGCTACTCACATTTCTACCCACGGACACTGTGGCAACCTCGGCCTCCTTGCCGTAGACGAACTGGGAGCGCTTGCCGTAGAAGAGCTTCAGGGGATTAGCAGGCCGATGACAGCATGGCAGCGTTCAGGCAGGCAACGTACGTGAAGCTTCTCGGGTGTCTTGCTCAGGGTGGTGTAGTACTGCTCAACGAAGTACCAACCGACCTCATCCTTACTGAGGTTGGCGTTAGAAGCCGAAGAGGGAGAGAAATCAGTGGCAGCAGCGACGGACGATTGATCGGCATTGCCCTTGTACTGTTCCTTCTCCGTGAAGTTTCCGTTGGCCGCCATGGTTGCGAATGTGGAATTTCTGATCTGGCGCAACTCGAACCGGGATGATCGGGTCTGACGATGTCGACCGTACCGATGTGGGTGGGATTAGACTCGTTGTACGTAGGCGACGACGAGTGTGCGTATAGCTGCTTCGCTGCATCCAGAGTTAGGGCCAAGGTGTCGTGCAGAGATGGACGCAGATAGGGGCGCCGAGCTTGATGGCTTACCTTGAGGCACGAGGCAGGGCAATTGTTCGAAAGGACCGAGTCGCAGTGGGTTGGAGTTCCGTTTCGAGAACAAGAACCAAAAGCCGAAATTATGTAAGGAAGGGTTCCCAAAGGCCGCAGGAACGGAAAGGAGGAGGATGGGTGTGGACGTTGGAGGGAGGAGAATGAAGAACAGAGGAGGGAAGGGAGGGAGAGACGTCGGGTATGCGTGCGGGCACAAAGAGATTGTTGGAGGGAAGTGGCTGAGATGCAGTCGTGGTGATGTAGTCGCGAGTGATGGACGGACGGGATTGGGATTTGACTTGGGGGAGATAGACGACAGACGGGAAGGGCCTCGGGGGAAGGTGGTGGAAAAAAAACACGCCCGGGTGATCACGCCCTGCCCTGTGCTTTCCCCAAGATCCAGCCAGGAGGACTTTGCACGCAAGGGGGGGAGACTCGGTGGGCACGCTTGGGCACCGCGACGTGTCATGTATCTGCGAGCTAGGTCAATGTACCACCTAGGCAGCTTAATCATCGCGTCCTTGCCCCACCTGCCGCCGCCTTGCGGTTGCTACCCGTCAGGGTGCGAAGGCCCAATCTTTGACTCTCGAGCTGTGACAGGAGCCGGGAGCAGCTTGGGTGCTCCCTCTAAAAGCTAAGAGCAGCCTGACGGCACACGACAGCGCGCAGTGTGGTCCATGCTTCAACGTGGTCATCAAATGCCATTGGCGTTTTGGTACACGACGCTTGGGGCAGAAGGTCATGTCTTAGAGTAGACTGGAACACCATCTGGCCGGCTCCACCAAGCTCTCAGAGCTTGTACCTCTTATGGCCATGAGGCAAAATCACTCAGATGCTGCTGACCATTACGCAAACAGCGAAAGATCATCGCATCGCGTGAGGCCATGCAAGTACCTGGAATTTGCATATCGTGAACGGCATCGACGAGAGGTCGGGCATGCAAAACAATATTCTACATGTTGCTCCTTGCTGCTCGGAGCTCAGGGGTCTATCTCTTTCAGAACCTTTTGATAATACTACAGCCAAGGATGCGGGCCATACTGGTTGATACAGGACCATCAGTCGGCGAATCCAAACACCTCACTCACAGACAGAGTGTTTGACCTCACACCCGCCAGCGTCACCACGATGCACACCAGATCCACGACCAGCAACAAGACAGCACCCATCATAAACCTCGGGCAGAACACCCTGTACAGCATCAAGTGTCTCCTCAAATGCCCTGCCCAAGCCATGGTTGCCAAGCTTTCGACGGCAAAGAAGGACACAAACGCCGCCAGCGCTCGACTGGCACTCTCCAGCACGCCTTTTCTCTTGGGTCCGACCTTCCACAGCACCACAAGAGGCACCGCCGACGCCGCGATGATCTGCGCACCAAAGTGGTTGACGGCCACAACGACCGGTGTCCATGGGTAGCGGATCGTGAAGAGCGGGATAAAGGCACTGTCCCACTGAATGCTCGAGGGGGTGGCCTGGTGGCCGGTCTTGAAGTAGGCAAAGTTGCCGAGGAGAGCAAGCATGACAGGGCCAATCGACTCAGCAGTCAGGCCGTTCAGGTCGAGAATCTCCATGAGCGACATCGTCTGCCAGAAGACCAGGGCGAGGGCGCCGCCACCCATGGGCTTCGACAAGAGGATGCAGCCGGCGAGGAGGTTCATTGGCAGGAGTAGATAGCGCGCGCCGTTGGTGTTGCCGTAACCAAGAATGACGACTTTGTTGCTGCCGTCGGGGGCGCGAGACTGGACAACCGATACCAGAGGGGGTGCCCAGACGAAGGCTGTCGTCCCAGCCACAAAGACAAGGGCGAGAACAAGTTGGGCCACGTACACAGCGATTGTCTTGAGCGTCTGCTCAGGGAGACCAGGGACCCACTCGCCGTTGTCTGCAGCATCAAGAACCCAGTAGAGAGCGGCCATGAAGAGGCCAGCCCTGTAGATGTAGCCAACCCAGGTTGGGCCCAGGCCTTCCCATGACCGCGAAGGCACGAGGAACGACTTGATGATAGCAGGAAGAGCAAAAGCAACAACAAAGGGGATGAGAAGCTGCCATCCAGCCGACGTCGAGGATGACGACGATGCATAGTAGGTTGATGTGCAATAAGGCATCTGCTCCTCGCGGCAGAGCTTGGAGAAGGAGGCTGCCCTGCCCAGAACGATAAAGAGAACTGAGTGGTAGACGGCAAGGGTGCGCTCCACAGGAGAGGGGATGGAAAAGGAGGCGACAGCACTGATGGCGCCAAATGTGGAGATGAAGAAGAGGAGGATTGAATCCTCCCAGATGGTATACGAGTTGGACGCAAATCCAACAGACTGACTGACAGTAAATAGGACAGAAAGCCAGCCCCAGACGGAGGTGGGCAGAATGTTGAGAAGGCCCTTTCCAGCGTCTGTGAGAGCTACAAGAGCGGCCACAATACTAGCAAAAGCAGCAGCCGCCGCTGCATAGGTCAGATCGTTGACGCCGAGGAGCTGAGAGCCGGCAGCCCCAGCGAATGCTCCTGGGATGGCGCCCACAAGAGCCGCAACTACGATGTTCTTGTGAAGCTGCGTATACTCTGGCGAAGCAGCGCCGACGATGCCTTGAAGCTCAAGCTTCTTCTCGGCAAAGTCAAGCTCGATGTCTGTGGCTGCGAAATCCTCGTCTTCGTCGCGGGACGCATATACTAGCAGCATGATGACACCCGCCGCCATGACGATGATGCCCGTGATCATCTTGGGCACATCGAACCGTGCCCAAAGATCCTTGCACACCTGCAGGGTCTCCTCCTGGAAATTCTTGAAAGACTGGTAGGAAGCGGACCACGACTTGGTAGCCCACGCGCTATGTGCCTGGGTCCAGCTCGCATGGGTCGGGCTCGACTTGGACGAGCTCTCCATGCCACGTGCAGCGAAGTAGGAATCTTGGTATCGCTGTGTGCCGGCAGCCGAGATCCGCGAGACGGCAGCTAGGTTGGCCCAATCGTTGCCCTTGAGACCAGCAAATGCCTCCTCGATGGGCCCTCCCAGGTTGTTGAAGGGAATGGGGATACCGAGCAAGAGGGCCAACGTAGGCACAAGATCAATCTGGTTGACAGGGCGTTCCTTGCCTGTCGCGGGCGGCTGCACATGATGGGGGTCGGTTCGGCCGAAGAAGGGCCTCTTGCTGTACATCCAAAGCGCTGCCTCAACTTCGTCGTCAGACTCGCCGCCGTGGTCGCCCTTTTCGTCCATGCCGTGATCCCCCATCACAATCAGAACGGTATCGTCATCGATTTGCGTAGATAGGTCGCGCAGCCAAGCATCCATCTGCTCCAGCTTCGCCTTCATGGCGGGGTGGTCTGGGCCGTATCGGTGGCCCGCATGGTCGACTCCGAGAAGATGTCCGATGAGGACGTCCCATTTCCCCTTGTTCTCTGGCTGAAGTAGGGGTGCTAGGTGATCAATGACACCAGTGTCAACCGTGTGCAGGTCCCAGACATTGAAACTGTCGTATGCGCGACTGATGTTGGGCTCGAAGTAGTCGGGGAACAAGGACACCCAGGTATCGTCACCAATGTGAACAATGCGCTGCCCCAGGCCCTTCATCTGCATCAGCAGGTTATCCTCCTCGATGGCCGTGCCCGCAAAATTGCTACCCGCGTCGATGAAGGTTGGTAGCGTTCCGGTCGTCAAGCCCTTGAGCCTCTGCAACGTGGCCGTCGGAGGGTCGGCAATAAAGGGCCGGAGAAAGGCGTTCTGCGGCGACTTAAGCGCCGTCTCGTGCAGAAAGGGAAACGCATTGTGGAAGGGCGCATTGTCGGCGACGGGCACGGTAAAGTCGTACCGCAGCGCATCAATGATGACGACGACGGCCTTGTCGAAAGACTTGGGATGCCAGCAGCCGCCCTCGACGGTGCCCATCCCCTTCCAGCTCCCCACCGGCTCGACAGGCGGCACGGCGCACTCGGACTTCTCGTCGAGCACCATACGCGTCAGCAGGAAGCCGCTCGTGAAGAGCAGGATGCCCACGGCGTGGATGCAGAGCAGCCAGAGCCAGAAGCCGACGGCCCACCACCAGCGCCGCCCAAAGGCGCTCTTACGGCGGGCCTCGAACGCCTTGCGCTGGAGTTCGGATGCGTTTGCTTTCGTCTTGGGCGCGCCATCTTGTTGTTGTTGCTGCTTCGCGGCGTCGGACGCCTCTTTCGCTCGCTTGGCGCGGGCGTACTCCGCCGCGATGGTTTTGTAGTCGGCCGAGGGGGCGGGCTGTTTGGAGTTCGGTTGGGCCATGGCCGGCTCTGGTTTCGTGGCAGGGAAGCAGACAGATAATAGAAGAAGAAGAAAGAAAGAAAGAAAGAAAATAGAGACAGTGTTAGGAGTGGACGGACTGTGCCATGGGAATCGAAAGGGGCTTTGCAGACTCGCCGTGTGCTGGTCAATGGCAGGCAGAGTCTGTAGGAGAAAGAATGGAGTTGTGGAAGGCAGTGAGAGGGTCGCGCCGACGTTGTCCGTGCCGTGACGGGACGGACCCTCAAGGTTGTGAACGTACTGTGGGGTCGACGCCCTCGCTGCTTTTACTTCCATGAGCGTCTTACTTATGCACCTGACAGTCAGCCAGCTCCTGGGGCTGTCTGTTACGAGAAACACATCATAGTAGATGTAGCGATCTTGATCTTGTTGTATTGCACGCAGAGTTTTTGGTTGGTTGATCTGGGGAAAAGAGCAAAATCTTTCTTCAAAGTTCGTACATCATCAGAGGTCTACAGATAGGTCGAAATACAATCATGCCCGCCAACGCCATTACCCTTCCTTGATGCCGGGACTCAATGCAGATCATGACTGCCCAGCATCGTCAGAGATCCAATCTTCTGCGGCAACGCCCGCGCCGGAGCCTTCCCTGCCCATTTTTAGGGGCGATGGCGCTCATCGCAGAGAGATGAGGCACTCAGTAGTGCCAGAGACCGTCCCCGTCGTCCGAGCCTTCCTCATCTCCCTCCTTGTTGTTCATCTTCTAATCGAACATGTCGGCTCCTGTCGGTCTGCTCTCGCTTCGCCTCCTCTCCTGTCTCCTCCTTCGGCGATTGTCGGCCGCCGAAGCTGTTGGCTTGTCGCCGGGGCCCCCAGGTGATGGGCTCATAGCGCTCCACGTACCGTGGCTTTCCGGGCTACCAATGCTAGAGGCCTCCGGCGGCGCCAGAGATGCGCTTCCTGCCGGCTGGCCGGAGTAGTATGCCGAGTCCTTGGGCTTGCGCCCCTTGGCAAACGCGGGGTTCGGTGGTGATAGCGGCGGCAAGGGCGTCGCGTCGGTAACAGCGCTTTCTGCTGCAAGCTCAACTCGACGCTGGCTGGAGTCACGTCTATATCGTTGCCGGCTGGGTGACCCGGTGCCGATGCTGCTGACTGAATTGTCACGCCTCCTCCGCTGGTCCCTCCTCGAAGCCGCTGCCTCGTCGTCTGTGAGTCTGCGGAGCGTCACGTTCCTGTCCTTGTCGTCGTGCATCTTGACCTTGACGCTGACAGGCCCGCTGGGGGTATAGGCCCTATGCCTCGCCTCCTCTTCCGCCGCGAGTGCGCCGGCTGAAGCGGCTGCCGCTGCCGCTGCGCGTTCTCCCTCTGCGCGTCTCCGCTCCGACGGTCGCCGGTGTGGTCTTCCGCCAGGAGAAAAGTAGGATTCACTTCCCGACTCATGATGAAGGACACCTTGTGGGTCGGCAGGCATGGCTGGCATGACGGCCGGCTCGACCACGTCTGTTCTGACCTGCGAGTCGGCGCGGGAACGAGACGCGGGATACGGAGCTGGTATAGGAGGTGCCCCAGCTGGTAGAGGTGGCATGGGCGGACCACTGTGTCCCGAGTCCGCGGGTCGAGGCTCGAACTGTGAGGAATCCTCCGTCAACCCGGTGACCGACGTGCCAACGGCTGAATATGGGACCTGACGTCCGGATGGCCGTCGAGAATGTCTTCTGGTTCGTGATGGTGAGGAGTAGCCGTCGCCCGTATATCTGGAAACCATGGTCTCCTCTTCATCTCGGTACCTGTAGTCCTCCTGCCGCTTGTTCTTGCGGTCTGCCAACTTCTTTGCGAACCATCCGAGTCCCAAGCCTGCCAGTATACCTTTCCCTTTACCTCCAGCTCCAGCCGCACGGTCCCCATCACGCCTCCTCGAGGGGCTGACGTAGGACGAATAATCAGAATCCTCAATCTCATAGCCTGAGCGGGTTCTGGCGTGCGTAGGACGAGTGGTGATGGGTCTGCTGTTTTGGGGGCGCTCCTCGGCTGCGCTCAGGGCCTGAGCAAGATGTGGGTTGCCGGGAGGTGGCAGCAAGGATGCCGTACCGGCATCGTGTCGAGTAGTTTCCGTATAGTCGCTGTATTCACTGATAGCCGGGGCTGTGCCTCGGCCGACTCTATCTCGACGAGGCGTCTCGGTCGACACGGCGGAATACTCGTCGTTGTAGTGTTTCTTCTCCCGGCGGTTCATCATGCCAGACACGAGCTTGCCCGCTCCGAGTGCCGCGCCAACACCAAGCATGGCTTTCATGAATCCACCTCCCTTTTTGTTATCCTCTCTGCGGGAATCGAATTCAGTGTACTTGTCGTCGTCAATGTAGCTCGCTGACGGTCTCCGAGCGCCTGCATAGGATGTCGACGGTCGTCCGCCGCCGACATAGCTGGTGGAAGCTCTGCGCGAAGAAATGACCTCGGGGCCTCTGTTTCGGCTGCGGCTTCGGGATCGTGACCCACTGCGACTCGTGGCGTTATCCTTCTTGTTGTTTCGTCGACGCGTAAAAGCCCATAGCGCTCCGCCAGCCGCGAGCGGTCCAAGCCATCGGGACATGCCTCCACGACGTTCTGTTTTCTCCGTAACCTCTGTGCGGTATTCCGAGTCAGGGCCGTACGTCAGTTCGGAGCGACCTCCTCTGGTGTAAGCATCTCGGTCCTTGAATTCTCCCCTGCGGTAGTCGAAGATGAAGTAGAGCAAGAAGAGAAAGGCCATCCACAACGAGTACAAAATGAACAGGTACTTGGGCGATCCGTACAGCGTGAGACCGAGAGGAACCTGAATGATGCCGAGAAGGGCAATCAGCCGCCCGCTCCACTGGTGGAACATGACCCGGATGGATCTCCCCTGTACGTGGCGGACGAGTCGCCCTCCAATGGCCTGGAGCAGAAACATGACGTAGATAGCTAGACCGATGGCGTGGTGAGGATTCGTCCAGCTCCTGTTTGGACCGACCGCGAACCAGCCGAGGACGAAGACGACGGTGAGCAGCAGGATGTTGAAGATACCAAGCATGGCGTGGTATTTGATGGCGAAACCAGGACGTCTGGTGTAGAAGCGGGCGAAGAAGACTGCTGCTGGAACATAGAGAAGGAAAACGAGGGCGCCAATCACGGCATGTGCCATGATCAGGCTGTGGTATTCGGCCACGGTTGAGAAGCGGTTGGCCATGCCTGTGGCAAACGCGGGTCAGCATGGGCGCAAGGTCGCGAGGCATGATGGAAGGTGGAGGGCAGAGGTCGGCCTACCGTTGTATCGCATCGTCTCGAAATTCAAGCCTTGCAAGTTTGGCAGCAGAAAGGTGTTCTTCTCAAAGTCCCAGGTGCCATCGCCGACAGTCATTGTGTTCGAGTCGTACTGCGCGCCGCCCGGGGCCGAGTATCTGTCTGCCGGCGCCATAACGGCGACGACAAGGAGGGGTCGTGGTCAATAGGATTGTTGGAGGTTGGAATGTTAGAGGGTCGGTGTCTTGGCCTTGGTCGACTTTTCGCCAGAATAGGAAGGGAATTGTCGGCCGAGGTGGTGGAGGACGATGGCAGGAGACCAGTGGACTGGTATGTTCAAGGTGGGGGAACCAGTGTTAATGGCGGTAATGTTATTTTGAAGAAGTTTGCCCACAAGGTATTCCTGTGGACTCCATAAAGCCTTCGACAGTGCCAATGCCGAGATGTCCAGAAGCCGGATGTGACGGTATGTCTGACCTAGGTAAACTGAGGTGTCCTCGAGTGGTTGTGCAGTTGACCGTTGTCCTGGGAGGAAGGGGGGTTGCCTCATAGCTTTGGTTGCGCGGGGTGACGGGGCAACGGGCGGGACCGTCGCCAGCAGTACGAACAGTGACAGCGCATTGTACAGGGGGGTTTCCTCTTGGTGACCTGACGAACGTCACTGGTGACTGGTGGGAGCTCTTATCTCACTTATCAACAAACAGGGCCTCTTTGTTAGTCAGCCTTTCCAGTTCTATTTTCAAGCTGGCCAGCCTGGGACCCACGCCTAGTCTAAGTCTTGTCTGGGCTTCGAACCATCCACCCCACTGACGACAGCGGCCAGGTCCCTGTCCAGCCACCAAGACCGAGGCAGATGAAGGAACATCATCAGCAACCCTCCTCACCTTCGTACGCTTAGGAGAGCTCGAAAGAAAGGGGGAAAAAAAACCTAGTGACTGGTATGACCGGGTCCGAAATCAACAAACTCGCTCTCCTCGTGCAGCAAACTACACCCAACATCGCTAGCCATTGAACAGCTGCCATGACGTCGCGATCGAGCCTTCCGTCCCTCCTCCTCCTCCCCGCACCCCCGGCGCCAGCATCAGTGCAGTCACTGAGTGCTGCTTACCGTCCCTCGCTTCGTGCCGCGATTCTTCGAGCAAGATCTCCGACCGCAGCAGCATTTCTAGTGGTTGCACTGGTTGCACCTATCTTGACCGGTTCTTCGAGGAGGTCCAAGGTGCTCGATTGGAAAGCGTCCCAGTCGCTCCTCGCTGGTCTCTATGGGCTGGTCGCCGTCATTTGTGCCGAGGAAGATGTCGCTAGCGATATTGGTGCGGGCAAAGGCGCAGTCGACATTCGCATCGTCCTGGTTGACAGCGACGACGCAAACCGTGGCTCGGCTTCCCCTTTGTCTCTAGAAAGCAACAACACCGTCGTTGTCGACCTGCAAACCTTCGCCAACGCATATCATCCATGGAATCTCATCATGCATGTCGATGGGGAGGCGGGGCACAGTCTTCGTGCCTCGTTCCTCGAGCACGCGCAGGGCAAACAAGTGATACGCCAAGACCAGTTCTTCACCGCCGAAGGGGGCATCAGCATCAAGCTTGGCCATGACGCCCTGGATGCTCAAAAGAGTGCCCACGCGCATCAAGGCTATCAAACTGTGTGTCTTGGTGGCACTTTTGACCACCTACACCCAGGCCACAAACTGTTACTCACGGCCGCGCTTCTCCTGTTCAAAGTCCCAGAGGAAGGCTCGGGAACAGCCTGCAAGCTTATCGTTGGCGTCACAGGTGATGCTCTGCTGCGGAACAAGAAGTTTGCGCAATACGTCCAGCCGTGGTCACAGAGAGCAGCAGCCGTCGTCGATTTTGTCGCATCTGTCGTGCGTTTACGCGACTCGGGATGGACTGGCAAGCCATTCCCAGGGCAGCAGGTAGAGAATGAATCTTCTATCAGCGTAGAAGCATTCTTCCGTGAGAGGACGATCCATCTCCACTGCGTCGAAATCCAGGACGCATTTGGTCCCACTATTACAGACGAGCATGTCGATGCTCTGGTCGTATCCGGTGAGACGCGATCGGGAGGGCAGGCTGTCAATGACAAGCGAACAGAAATGGGGTGGAAGGCGCTGGATGTGTACGAGGTGGACGTTCTAGGCTCGGCAGCCTTAGAGGACGCAGCCAAGAGGTCTGACGGCCCAGCCGACTACTCTTCCAAAATAAGCAGTTCGACCATCCGACAACAGAAAGCGGAGGCAGCGGCTAGTACAGCACGCAACGTTTGACAATGTAGCCATGGCGGTTTTTGCCGCTCACTACAAACAAGCAAAATGTCCTTGGTTCACACGGACCCTGTGCAATCTCGCCATGCTAGGCTCATGAAGGGAAACCAATCGTCCTCGTTGTCTATTTTTAGCCCCTACCCCTAGAAGACAAACCGCGAGACAGTCCTGAACAAGATGTTCTCGACAAGGATTTTTCTTTAGTTGTTGCTCTTTCGGAAGGCTGTCCAGTGAGCCTACCCCTCCGCATCTTCTTCACAGATCCTGGACGGCGACAGAAACATCTTTGCGCAACTTAACCTCGCCTGTTTGGAGTGGCGTGCGACGTCAAGTCGAGTCCAGTCATGCAACCGCTGGTGCCCTGTTTGCAGGGTCCAGTTGTGGAAGGCCACGAACAAAGTTCATCCTCCCCACGAGCCGAGTGGTGGCCGTTAGGATCTGCGGATGCATCAGCTTCGAAATTCGTCAAAAGTTCCTCTACGACGATAGTATTGCCATCCTTTTTCGGCCAGACTTGGCACATCCATGACGTCCAACCAGGCTCTGTGCTTAGGGGGCCAAGGGGCTGTGCAAGTGTGCGTTCTTAACCATGTACGTCACTCATGCCTGAAGAGGTAGTGAGCAGCCTCCCCAAATAACCTTCGCAATCCTTCGACCGTGTCTTCAGCGGTAACACACTGCAACAGAACCCCTGCTAGCCATCCATTCGTGCATTCAGCTCACAGATTCCGACGTCGTCGGCGGCATCCTTCAATCGCAATGCAACGTGAACGTGCAGTATGTGGCGATATTCCGTCCGCCTGCCTACCAAGGCCAAATGGGCCAAATATTATAAGCACCGCCATCTACACCACGACTCAAGCTTTGTGTCCCTTTCCATATTGGCGATTGAACCGAATCTCGTTCGCCGCCATCACCTCGCGTCATCATGGTTCGACTATCAAGCCTCGCCGCGGCCGTCTCGTGGCTGCAACTCAGCTCAGCCTGGTTGCCAAGTGAAAGGCCAGAGGGCACTTTAAACAAGAAGTGGTTACCTGGATCAGGGAAAATCAGGGGTGTCAATCTTGGCAGCCTGTTCGTCTTTGAGCCATGGATTGCCAACAGTGCTTGGACTGGACTAGGCTGTGAAGATTCGCCGGACAGGGGGTCCGAGTTCGACTGTGTGTCGAAGCTTGGCCAGGAGCAAGCGGATGCCGCTTTCCAAGGTCACTGGGGATCGTTCATCACTGAGTCGGATCTCGACGAGATGAAGAGATATGGCATCAACACCATTCGCATCCCTCTCGGCTACTGGCTCGACCGGTCACTGGTCGATAGCTCGGAGAACTTCCCCCAGGTATGGCATTGTGCCTCCCTTCACTCGGATTCGACCTAACTCGTTCACTTGACAGGGCGCTGAGGAGTATCTGGTCAGAATATGCGGCTGGGCTACTGCGCGCGGCCTATACATCATCTTGGAGTATGTCAAGCCCCGTCGTGGAGGAGAGTTGAGCTAAGAATAGTAGTCACCACGGCGCACCCGGAGCACAGGTGGCCAAGAATGCCTTCACTGGGCAGGTGGGTGTTTCAAGGCCTCTATGAAAGATGCAACATCATTAACATGATTGCAGCTTGCTCCAAGCCCAGGCTTTTACAACGAGTACAACTACGGTCGAGGTGTCAAGTTCCTCCAGTATCTCACCAAGTTGGCGCACGAGAGGCCAGAGATGGAGAACGTTGGTATGATTGAGGTCCTCAACGAGCCCGTCCCACTGGGATCAGTCCGTAGAGTCCCTCCGAAGCACTTTCTATCGAGATGCGTACAATGTGAGTCGCGGCTTGTCTCAACGCAGTCCCCCTTCTGGCAACAATCGCTGCTTCACCCGCGAATCCTGTCTTGCGGCGGTCAAAGCACAATAGCTAAAATTCAATACTACAGGCCATCCGCCAGGTTGAGAGAGACCTCAACGTCAGCCCCGACGACCAGTTCCACATTCAAATGATGGGCACCGGCTGGGGGGCCGGTAACCCGGTTGAGTTCCTCAGCGACACGCAGCTCACGGCGTTTGACGATCATCGTTATTTGAAGTGGGCCAACCGTGACGAGGTTCCCCTCTCGCACGAGAGTTTCATCTCCACGTCTTGCAGTGACAATCTCAGCCGCGACAGCGCAGGTCCCACCATCATCGGCGAGTGGAGCCTCAGCGTCCCAGACGACGTCCAGTGGAGCGACGGGTGGCATCCCGAGTCGCAGAAGGACTTCTACCGCAAGTGGTTCGCGGCGCAGATTCACTCGTACGAGACACGAGCTGAGGGCTGGGTCTTCTGGACGTGGAAGACGCAATTAGGTGATTATCGCTGGGGATACAAGGGTAGGTTCTTCGCCTTTTCTCTCCTCCCAGACAAGATGGCTGACGAAGAAACGCAGACGCTGTGCCAGCTGGTGTCATCCCGGAGGATATTGACGAGGCCCTGAACTCGGGCGTGTGTGGATGAGCGTCGGATGCCTTGAGCACTGCCGCTGATTCGTTAGTTTGAGCCGACGCGAACGCCTGGGTACGAAATACGGGTTGGCATATTGGAGGTGCGGCGTCTGATGGCATTGGTCGTGTTCAGCGCCGCGCGCAGCCTGACCGTCCATCATGACTGCCAATATGCTGTTGACAGGACAGTCGGATGATATGAAGTTTTGTACATGTGGGATTGATCAAATAGCCTTGTCGTTTTGCCTGAAATATGTATATATTTACATCGCTCTCCAGTCTTGCGCCCCCCGTCTTAGATCATTTCACACGACTCGATCGCACAGCTCTAGGCACGCCGACCACCATGGCCTCTTCCAAGAATGATTCATCTTCAGTAACAGCGTCCTACGCGACACTGTCTTTCCACAAGAGTGATCACATCTGCTTCACCAATTTTGCCGAACCTCTCGCCCACGGAGCGGAAGCCATTCTAGCAGCCTCCTGGCCGCCCGGCATCAAAAAGGAAACCAACTCCGCAGGCCTCCTGACATATCAGGTCAAAGGCCGCCCCTGGGACCCCAGCGACGACGCGTCCGCCATCGCGGCGTGCCGCCTCGTCCGGGACCTCCTCGCCTACCTCCATCGGCACGGCTGGACGCTCGTCACGGGGCTCGGCACAGCGTGCG